GGAAGTCTTGTTGAACTTACCACCACTACATATTTTCATACAAGGCGAAGCCAGATCTGTCATGCACAGGTTAATTCACGGTCAGCAGCACATAAGCCAAACGCATAATGCTGCTAACCAGAAGCTAATCGAAGAGCTAAAAGCAGACAAAGTATTGGGATTACCAATTGATGCAACAGCTACTAGGTATAGCTTCAACAACAAATTTAATATAACCATACCAGGAAGGGAAGACTGGAGTAAAGTGTACCCATTCAAGCTGAGGCAACCTGGTATTGGCTCAAAGACGGCTCAAAAACGTCAGAAGGCGTAGGAGCTGGGATAGTAGGGCCGAAACAAGGGAGATCCTTCCACGTAAGCCTATCTAAGGATGTCACAATTTTCCAGGCAGAAATAACGGTAATCCACTATTGTGTAGAAGAAATGATAAGGCAACAAAGAACAAATCGTTCTGTGGCCATCTTCACAGACAGCCAAGCGACGCTAAAGGCACTCGGCTCCGCGGAGGTCAATTCTAGACTAGTGTGGGACTGTGTGCGTGCTCTGAATACTTTGGGCGAACGTAGCACTGTTATGTTGGCCTGGGTGTCAGGGCACGAGGGTCACAAGGGTAAGGAAAAGGCAGATGAAAGGGCCAAGCAAGGCTCATCAATGCCATTCATAGGCCCAGAACCCTTCTGCGGCGTTGCAAAGGCGGTCACGAGAATGGCCACGGAGCGATGGGTGGCCAACAAATCTCTAGAATGGTGGAGAAACTCACCAGGGCAGAGACAGGGAAAAAAGTTCATTGTAGAACATTCGCCAAAATTCACGGTAGACTTGATAAGCAAGGACAGAAAGACAGTCAAAGCTGTAGGAGGTCTACTAACAGGGCATTGTAAGCTAAATAGGCATCTAAATCTGATGGGATTGACAGACGAAGCTATGTGTAAGTTCTGCCAATCTGAAGAAGAAACGTCAGAACACATTTTGTGTCCGGTAATAGGCAATGATAGCCAAGGAGCTACATGGAGATTCAGTCTCCAATTTGTTAAAATTGTCATTAAACTTTGTGAAAAGGATAGGACTGGAGAATGTAATCTAAGGATCAGAAGAGGACCACAATAGATCTGAGAAGGTCGCAGTGGATCAGGCCGAAAGCCACCTCTAAGAATCTAATCTAATCTACAGCAATTTCAAATAAAAAAATAATTGCATTTAAGATAATTACGAAAAACCTAATTTTAAAAAGATCTTATATCCTGTAACTCTAAAACTATGCATTTCCTACTATATTTATAGCAACTTTTCTTTCATATTTTTTGATGAGGAATCAATGAGTACTTATTTAAAACTTAGTCACAAGTTAATGATATTAATTTTTTAAAGGTTGCTTTTAGACTTGGAACAAGGCAAATTAATAAAATTGCGTTTATCTCATCAAAGAGGCCAAAATGACAAAATATCAAGGACAACGTTTAATTGGAATTAAACTGCTACACTATTTCGCTAACGAGAAAAAAGTCAGTGGCCTACATGCTTTTTTAGAAAAAGATTCTAGTGATAACCCATATGCACGTCGCAGCACCACAAATTACCTATAACAGATGCGAAAGAACATCGAATTACGCGTTCAGGTTTCTGTGACCTTCAGAAAGAGTTCATAGACAATCCGCATCAATGTATAGTTTGGGTTATTATTTCTTTGGGTGAAAATAATCTGCACCAATATGTTGTCGAGGCATACAAAAAGGTCCACAGACTTCGAGACATACGAAAAATCAAGTCCATTTAGCGTGTGTCGCAATTTTCACGCCTTAAAAAATTAGTTTTTTATAGCTATAGCAACTGCAGCGACTATGAAAAAAGCTGTGTGATTTTCATAGAAAATAAGGGCACCTGTAATTCATTTGAGAATGTTATAAATCGCTAAAAGAGGTTTCAAATCTCTTGGATTTCTATTAATATTAAATAAATTTTATTAAAAATTGAACTAAAATTGTTAGTATCATTAAAAACAATTCAAATTCAAAAATTGTATCAGTCAAATTCCCTCATTTAAGGTGAATATTAAAGTAAATATAAATACAGCTCATTCTAAGCTCTACTTATCTTTAAGAAAAATTTAAATCATTGTTGCAATTGGGCCTTAATGCCATTTCGAATGAACAATAGTATTAATAATGTACATTATAATAATAATAAATTTTATATCATAGTGTGTATTAAAACTACTAAAACACTTTTAAATTGATATTATATTAACAACTTTTGTTTTTTAATCCAAAAAAAAGTTACCAATTTTCTCAATTAAAATATTTGTGGTCCTGAAAAGGACCTTCGTTTTCCCATGTTCGTCAAGGTAGATAATGGGTAAACGGTAAAAAACAGGATAATGAAACTTAAAAAATTACAAAAATTGTTCAAAAGTGCATTCCTTCCTCTTGCATTAAACAATAACCCAAACGATCATAAAATCCCCTCCTCACATTGGATAACATATCAGGGGTGACAGTGTCAAAGGCATTAAATATTTTCTGCCTTAACTGCTCCAAGTTTTGAATTTCTTCATGGCCGTAAATTTTAGATTTTATGTACCCCCATAAAAAGAAACCATTCACCGAGAAGTCAGGTGAATTTAAACGTCAGTCTAAACAAAACTGTCATTTTTGAAAACTTGTCAAAATTTGGATACACGCTAAATGGACTTGATTTTCCTATGTCTCGAAGTCTGTGGACTTTTCTGTATAATCTCACAGTAATTTAACGATTGCTCGTAGGAGATTAGGAATATCAGCTCGTAGGAGATTAGGAAAAAAAAAAGATATTTATAGTATAAAAAATTAATTTATTTAACAAAATTTAATTAAAGATGTGACAAAATACATTTTACATTTTTATTGGTTTCTATTGGTTCTATCGGACTTTTTTCGACTATATAAATCTTTATTTTTTGTAAACTTTAATGCATAAAATATTTTCAATCTAGTAAATAATTTAATGATGTAAATAAGAGGAAATTGGTGGTCAAATTCTATAGTTTTCATTATATCAAACAGCCTCTGAATGTTTTCTTCAGTGCAACACTCATCAAAATTTAATATAAATAATTTTTCCAGCCTGTAAATAAAATGAACAAATTTTTCCACTTTCATGATCAAAGGCTTTTAAATGGGTAAATAATTTCGAGTTATCCAGAGATTCGGATTCTTTTGCAAATTTTAGACAAATATCACATTGATGTATTTGAAGACCCTTTTTAATGATGTAGTCAAACATAATTAAAAGGCATTTTGAGTTGAAAACATTTCTCAGAGGCTGTTTGATATTAAGAAAACTATAAAATTTGACCACCCATGTGAGAAATTTCCTCTTATTTACATCATTAAATGATTTATTAGATTGAAAATATTTGATGTATTAAAGTTTACAAATAAAGATTTATATAGTCGAAAAATGTCCGATAGAACCAATAGAAAGGTAACTATTTTGTCGCATTTTTAATTAAATTTTGTTAAATAAATTAATTTTTATACTATAAATATCTTTTTTTTTCCTTATAAATAAACACATTTGCATCCCATTTTAAATAAGATATACAAATTACCAAAACTTAGAAATAACAGTTCAAAAGTTCAACAAAAATCCTAAACGCGTTTTAAAAAGAAACATATAACCACGCACTATGTCATTCCAGCAAGCGAATACGACACAGCATAGGTTTCCGGACTAAACGACTGGTGTATTTACACCACTCAATAGGCGTGTCGGGTTTGCCGAGCGGTTTCCGATGCAGTCGCTTTCTTTCGCATCTGTTATAGGTAATTTGTGGCAGCACGTCCCGGTGAATTTGTCGACACTTTTTTAGCGTTAAATTATGTCGCATTTACAGTAACTTTTACCCTCTAAATTTCATTCGAAACGCTAAAAGTACTTGGAAGAAAATCATAATAAATCGAAAAAATATTAAGTATTAATTAACTAAACCAACTAACACCCTGTAGCTACAAAACAAAGCAGAATCGAACCTAGGTTGATATGAAAAATAAATCTTATTTTTACGTGAGGAATCTCCCTACGAGAGATGGTACATGTTTTTAAAACACCCTGTATATCGAGAAACCATAGTTACGGTCGCTGAATTTGACACTTTATGTCAGTTTAATAATATATTTTAGGACTTTTATGCTTAGGCGTAAAAGCGCTTTATTGGTGCTTTACTTTTATGCCTAGGCGTTAATTGACTTTTTTATATTGTCAGTCATGTCGCAAAAACCATAGATAAATGCAACAAGTTTAGATTGGAAAGCCCGTAAAAATTTTAGGTCGCGAAATTATTTTGGGTCGCGACCGTTATACGCGATCTGGCGCTGCTATAGCGGTCGCTAAGAACAACGGCAAACAAAAACAGAAATAATTTTCTCTTGTCAAAGTCAGAATCTTCAAAAATCATAATAATCTTTCAAAATCTAAACCGCTCTCATTAAAGAAATTCCGAAAAGTGTTTATAGCGTCCACTTTCAAAGTAATTATTGCTATCTTGTGAGTTTAATTCAAGTTTTATTTACTCCAACCGGTGATAATTGTGAAAAAGTGGCATCAAAAACTTAAAAAGCTGTGCTGTGAAATGTGAACCGCAAAAACCATCGTGGATCGTGGCATAACGTCGGTTTCCAATGTTTCATAGGTATTTCATACATGCGTCCTTATATAAAATAAAGTTTCTTGTATGCAACACTGTATTTTATTTATAAAATTAAACGAAAATAATAATAAATTTGAATAAACAATATTTGGCGATATAATTCCGGAAAAAGCCGAACCGGTCCGAAATTTTCAAAAGTTTTGGGTCGCGACCGTTGCAAGAATAGCGCCAAATAGTGTTTACATTGTCCTTATGGGCACATTCCAATCTAAACTTGTTTCATTTATCTATGGCAAAAACTAATACTTTTATGACATTTGAGAAATAAAATTATCAGGCATAATGAATTAGTCCATACTTGTTTCGCCCATACTCATTAATATGAATATAATACGAAATTATAAGAATCAATAAAGAAATGAGTGGAGACAGGCCGAAACCAAACGGGCTTAGCGTTATCGTCGCCCTCCCTAAAACTCTTTACTTTCTCTTCAACGTGGGGTTCCAAATAACCGTGCATTATGGACAGACGCCCACCGTATCTATAAAGGAGTCCGATATTATTGGACAGTGCCATAGTGGTCCCGCGTTCACTGTCTTCAGGACATTCATATTCGTATACTTGTGGAACAGTGTTAGGATAAAATATATAATCATGTCTAAGTTAGCCGTAAGTGAATTATACCGATATGGTTATTTTCGTGTAGATTTCATTAAAATTCTAAAAAACTTTAAAATTGCAGATATAATTATCTAGATTAACTTAAAGAAGTAGAATGTAAAGAAAAATATGTGTAACCTATGTAAAACATGGGGTTTTGAAACTATATTGCACAAAAAAAATAATTTTCTATAAATTTGAACAGGTTTGGCTCTCTTTACAAAATAATAACTCACACAAGAATAATGGTTTTGACAAACCGATACTAATTATATAATATTAAATAATATCTTTGTGTAATTAAAATTTAAATAAATTTGAAATATTAGTCAAATGATCTATTATTTATAAATCTGGAATATTTATATATCATTTTAGGATTACTTTTGAATCTTAATCGGTTGCTATATTTTATACTATCCTTTCTTCATATAAATTATCCTATTTACAATTTAAAAAAATCTATAATCTATATTTAAAATTATTACTGATAATTAATAGTTTTACCTGTGGTTTTACTAAAACAATTTTAAAAATACATATACTAGTTAAAAAATTTTGTATAACAAATAGTAGAAAAATTTGAATTATTATGTTATATTTTATATTATTATACAGGGTGAGTCTTAAATAAGTGCAAATATTTCGGGGCTGGTAGATCTCGATAAACGAAACATCTCTTTAACATTTTTCAAATAAATCCAAATTAACCGAGTTTAAAATTTTGCTTAAATTTTGAGAACCACTGGACCTTTTCTGGAAATTCCTCCTTGTAAATTTAATCTACTACCTATGTTGTCATATTATCAAGAAATTAGGTATGTTTCTGTCTAAAAACTAAAAATTTCCAAATTTTTTTCCAAAAAATTTTCTATTTTCAAACTTTTTTTTTGCATTATTGCATAACTCATAATCGTGTTTCTGGGGTCGAAATATACTACCCCTAAAAATATTTGCACTTATTTAAGATTCGCCCTGTATATTATTTTAGGAATATTCTCAAACAACCTTTTTAAAAAACCTTACCTACAAGTTCAAAAAAAATGAGTTTGGATATTCGGTTTTGTAGATATACTGGGTATTACAAAAAACATGTGCCATCTCTCGTAAGGAGATTCGTCACTTAAAAATAAGATTTATTTTCCGATCTGCTTTGTTTCTTAGTTATAGGGGGTCAAAATCTTCATTTTTTTCGATTTATTATAGTGTTCCTCCAAGTGCTTTTAGTGATTCGAATGAAAATTTGAGGGTAAAAATTGCTATAAGGACAACATATATACCAGGGACGTGCATATGAGTTATCACTAGAATATTTTGATAAAAAAAATCATGTACGCCACTATTTTTTTTTATTTTTTGTTAGAAAATTCGTGCTAATAGCAACATTTAAAATTTTCTAATGTTATTAACTGGCCAAAGTGTTAAATCAGCACTAGTTGAATCCTCATCAAAAAATAAGGAAAAAGTTGCTATAAACATAGGAAATGCATAGTTTAGGATGTTAAAACTTTTAAAAATAAGTCTTTTGTAATTATCTTAAATGTCACTATTATTGTTTTAATTTGCTGTAGGTAGCACTAAACATCAGTGATATAAATGTTAATAACAAATTAGATTAAATAAGTAATTTACTAATTTTATTAATTGTGATTAATAAAATTGTGTTAATCTCATCAAGGAGATCGAAATCAACTAAATGTCGAGATATAACTTTCAATCGGCATTAAACGATCTACACAATTTTATTAAAAAAAGGAAAAAGTCAGTGGCACATGAGGCCAGGAGAACCCATGTGCACGTCCTTGGTGAATCTGTCGATATTTTTTAAGCATCAAAATGTGTAGCACTTATAATAACTTTAACCTTCAAATTTTCATTCGAATCACTAAGAGCACTTTGAAGAAAATTCTAATAAATCGAAAAAAAATACTTTAACCCCCTATAGCTATGAAACAAAGAAAAATCGGTCCTATGTTGATATAAAAAATAAATCTTATTTTTACGTGAGGAATCTCCCCACGAGAGATATCACATGCTTTTTGAAACGTATGAAGTATAATTGTCATTTTCTATAAAATTAGGTCCGAAATCTTAGTTATACCAAACAACCAAACTACTTAAGAGTATGAATTTAAATATACTTACATAGAGCTATAATACCGTATGATCGAATAAAAACGGCGTCAGCGCTGGCCATGAAACGACGATCGATGACATTTCCCATATAATTTTACATAAAATGACAGCGATCTTCATTTCATAGCTATCGCTGACGCCGTTTTTATTCGATCATACGGTACAATATGACCGAATAAAAAACAGCGCCAGCGATGGCTATGAAATGAAGATCACTGTCATTTTATATGTAAAATTATATGGCGAATGTCATCGATGTTCATTTCCAAACCAACTGAACGCCATTTTTTTCGATCAAACGGTAAAAATTTAGACGTTAATTCATCTGCAATCTGCAATCATTAATGATATAAGAAAATATCGAAAAATTGCAAAGTGAAAAGTTGTTCAGAACTCAATTTTATATCAAAATGTCAGTTTTTGACTGGTGCTTTGAAATTCTTTTATAAGAAAACTTTCTTTCAAAAAATTGGATTTTTTCAATTTTCGATTTTGCAAAATTTGTCTTTACTACCTGTCGGTGGATTGGAAGAAAATTAAATGTAATGAAAACTAAAACTTATCTACGATTGTTAGTACAGTACACAAAGTAGATCTTTCTAGATTTCATGATAGAAGTGACGTCCATTTGTTCTTACGAGGGTTATTATATATTTTGCCTATAGAGGTAGAAAAAAAACAATAGATAAGTTCTAAACACTATTGTTTTCCAAAGTATTCTCCATGAAGAGAAATGTATTTTTGCATGCGTCGAAACCAGTTCCGAAAGCAATTATTCCACTCGCTTGTTGTGTTTTTGAGGGCGCTGACTGCATCTTCTGGGGACTGGAACCTTTAATCATGCATACAGTTCATTCTTATTTTTTAAAAAAGTAAAAAAAGTTGTTATGGCTTAGATCAGGACTGTATGGAGGATGGTCCAACAATTCGATGTTTTCTTGCTTTAAAATCTCAATTGTTTTTCGAGCTGTGTGGTAAATTTCGTTGTTGGGGGTTTTCCCAAACAGCAATTACATCCAGCAAACAAATAAATATGTATCAATTAACAGTAACAGTTCTTTGATGCGGCAAACGAATTGTTGCTACATGACCCGCTTTTGAGACAAATGTCGACATCACTTCTTTTGGAAACACTACGAAAACGCATAACTTTCGTCGGTTTTGGTTCATCTCGGAACATCTAAACAGCCAATTGACGTTTATGTTCGGGTTCATAAGAATAAATCCAGCATTTGTCACCACTAGGTTAAGTTAGGTTAGGTTGCTGAGGTTTGGGATCATGTTTGATCCCTTACTCGGAGGCTTTGGGCCCATTGCGATACCCCTGTATTGTTATACCAAACATTCCTCCCATTCTTTTTTTTTGCGTTAAAGCATTTCCAGCTCTTTATCGCTCCAAAAAACCTTGTCCTAAAGTTTTAAAGTGTCGGTATTCCAGTGCCGAATAGTGGCACAGCAGGTGCTCTATAGTTTCTTCTTCCTCTCCACATTCTCTGCAGTAGTCGTCGTTGGAAATCTTCCATCTCACGAGGTTTACCCCCGTGGGGCAGTTTCCAGTGAGATACCTACAATTATGCGTACTAGGTTCTTTTTGTGCTCTAGTAACAACCGATTGACGTTTATTTTTGAATTAATAAGAATAAATCCAGCATTTATTACCACTAACAATAGGTACTATAAATATTTTTTGAGTTTCGTGCGTTAAACCGGTGTAGAGGTTTCTTACACCAATTGACTCTAATTGCTTTCTATATTTCCATTAACAGAGCAGTATCCAATGAGAAACTATTTTTTTCACATAATTCGCGTAATTTTTTTTTAATTGAGGTCCAACGATAATTCAATTTCACGACATGTCGCATATGTCGATCTTCTTGGATCAGCTTACGTACAGTATCGACATTTTCCTGGGTGACTGCCCTTGTTGGTGGACCTGTACTTGATCGTCGCTAGGACTAATCCGTCCACGTTTAGTTTCTCCAAACCAACGAGAAGTTGACCTGATGTGGTGCTTCATTGCCGAAAACAGAAACCAACTCGGCAAGGCATTCTTGTTGAGACAACTGTATTCGAAAATTGTACAAAAATGATTGTGCGAAAATTGTCTCGGTTTAATTCCATGTTTCAACTGCCTCGTCATTTTCAAAAATTCACAGTTTAAATTTAGGACTAGCGATCACTGATGTTCAGTATATTCAACTTGTTGTATTGATCTATATAAAAACAAAAAAAAAATAAACTAACACAATCAGAATTACTCTAAAATAGTTTTAAATATCTTGATTCTCTAAATCGTAAGAAAAAATAATGTGATAGGTTGAAGTTTTCCTAATATATTGAATACGTTTGCTATCCTGAAAACTAAAGATATCATTTGTTTAAGATTAATTACAAGGCAGCAGAGAAAATTAACCATGTCAGAACCAAATGAATATTCCACCAAAAAATGAATATTCTTCCAATCAAAAATGAATATTCTCCAAAAACCTTGTATATTTTTAAAGCTTTTTAACAACTTTTCGCTTTGACATTTAACGTATTTAACGTTCTGTAGTTAGTTATTTAACTACATTTTTGCATATCGTGTTAGCCTAATTTTCGTGCATCAGAATTTCGGACATTTTCTAAGAAAACCAACATGACGAAAGATAAAAAAATTGAAGGATTATCGAATGTAATACCACAAGATGTTTTGGGATTATGGAATAATACTTTTACCTGACACAAAATGCGTTACTCAGCAACACTACGACTCCGAAGGAGGTGTAGTGTTGCCTGTATCGCATTGAGTGTCAGGCAACAGTATTAGGTAATCTTGAAACTTCGAATTGTATTCAAAAGATTATACAACGAAATAAAGTACATATATCCTT